ACAAAATAACCATTCAATGTTAAATCTGTTGGTTACCTCATATGTCTATGTGTCTTTTTAATGTCACCATCCTGAGAGGTCCAACAAAGTAGTCTGCCAAAGGATAGTCATCTGCCAGTTCCTCAAGCTCAATCAAAACAGTTTCTCTTGTTGGACTCAGCTCAAAGGCTCTGAAATGCTCCCTATACCACCCATAAAGCCTTCTCACCATGTGTTACGCCCTCTCAAGGGGGAAGAGAGGAACGACGCACACACCAGTTGGATTTGGTAAATAATTATAGGAGCTTTATTTTCACGGTAAACAATATGAGGTGCGAGCACACGGCCACCTATAAACAAAAGCCAAAACGGCGCAAGTCCAACAAAGGACTAAACAAAAGGAGGACTCTAACAAAACGGAGCCTGACTATGTATAAAAGGGGAGTTTTACAACAACGCAAATTAAAGAGGGGCTGTTCCAAAAACAGCTTCCGGAGCATATGCGGGCTCAGCAGAGTACAACCTAACACACACAGAACACACTGAATATACACACTAAACTAACACACTAATCTACACACTCTGACAGCAGTCAGGAACACAGTTAGCTCGTAGCGCTACAAAGTCACGGTAACCCAGTTGAGGCGTCTGCTCTACACAGCAGACCCTCCCGAATGAAGTGTGGCCGCTGACTTTAAGGTCCTCCTCCGGAAGGTGCGCCGAACGCTGAAGAGGGGTTGGAGGACGTCAATCCAATCGGCTCTTCAGTCCGGGGGCGGGACAGCCAATGTCACCTAAGGAGCTTCGCAGCTCATTTGCATACACACACACACAGTTAACAGAGCAGAGGACTGTCGTCCGTAACACCATGAAACATAGTCTCTCCTGTACAATGCAAATCTGAAGAATCTCTCCAAAGTCAGGCAGTCCACTTGTAGACCCATGAGCCACTATCATCCCATTTCTGAATGTTACCCCTTTGCTTGACACACACTTTGTTAAGTGAACTTCAGTTGTACCAGGGAAGTTCTGGGCAATAGTCTGAGCTATTTCTTGTTTCAATACATCCAAAGGCACTGTTGAGACCTTTGTGATTTCCAGGGCAGCTTCATCAAAACTGGATGATACCAGTTGATAGGAAATCATTAGCTGATGCTTAGTAGCTAGCGAGAGGGGCACATTTTTAAAGCAATTGGTGTGTCGCGCAACCTGCTTAAAAAAAACTGTGCTTGGCCTCAAAACGCATGGTCCAGAGGCCCACAAGAGGACCAAACGTTGTGGATAGTGCTCCAGATAATGATGCTTTGGTAGCAGTCGCACATCAGGGAAGAGTTCTTGGTACTTTTGTCTGTGCTCTGAAATCTTGCCCTCAAGATAGGCAATTGACTCATCTGTTTGTCTTGGAGCAACCACAAGCTCTGCAATGTCTTTTAAGTCCAACAGTATTTGCCATGCAATTTCACCCTCAGGCACCAGATGCCCAATTATGAATGGGAGTAGTCTCAACAGAGCCCAATTTTCATGGGCATTCCCACCTATTGTTTTTCTTTTAGAAAATGTGTGTGGGATCACATGTGGCCTGTTTGTTTTGTCTGCCCACTTATAAGGGAACTGCAGGATAGATTTGTTGAGGGTTTCAAGATTGAAATATTTCTTAGATATTAGCAATGCCAAACAACGTGCAAGCTCTACTGGCACTAACCCCTCAAAAATATCATGCATAATATCTGGAGGATAACCCGTGTGAATACTGAAGTGGTCAAGAGATTGAGTGATGGAACAATGTCTTTTCACCCCAAAACAGCTTGCCCCATTCTCCTGCGCTGATTTCACATGAGAGTCATGGAGTTCTTTTGTCCTTAGACTGAATGCACCTGACTTTACCTCTTTTGTTTGAATGTCTGTACTTGTTGCTGTGCAAAATCGGCAGATATATCCACCAGAAAAGCTCTCATTGAAACCAGCTATACTGTGAGCTCCCAGGTTGTCTGCCGCAACAACCTGAATGGTGCCTTTAAGACATCTGCCAAGCAATGGAATGAAAACACCAACTTGTTCTAGAGCAGGGGTGGCCAACCAGTCAGAGGTTAAGAGCCACATTTTTTCTATGTTTCTGCAAAGAGCCACATCAAACACACAGTCACTGATACCGCTTGTTTCAGTTTTTTGTTTTCTGGAGACAAGATTTCAACCACGTCACTGATGTGATCTTTGTGGCATTGGGATATATATTTTTTAAATCCTCTGGAGCAGAGAGAGGAGCTGTGGATTATTGTTATTGATTAATAGTGTTTCTTAGGGTCAAAAACACTAAACTCACAACTTAAAATGAAAGCGTTTAGTTTATTTAATAAAAGAGCACATGTTCAATGTGAAAAGTGACAGTAGTTATAGATTATTTGCAATTTGGTGCGATATATATATATATTTAAAAAAAATAATAATTATATATATTTTTTAAACACCTTGAATTTCAGGGGGGGGCACGGGGCTCCGTTGGCGGGGCGCAGCGCCCCTCCAAGACAATGGTAGGGGAAACACTGGATAGTGTTTAATCAACGATAGGTTTCCCCCCCCTCAAAGGTGATTGGTTCACTGCATCACAGGTATTATTGTGATTGGCTCTTGGGACACATCAAAATTAGACGCGCTGTCATCCTCTCATACTGACACCTGACACCACACATACACACGTAGGGAGAGCCGGGACGAAAGTAACACGGGACGAAAGTAACACGGGACGAAAGTAACGGAGCGATTTTATCCGAGCCCAAACAACTTTGACCGGCCAAATTACGTCAGAATGATCAGCATTCAATACTTAACAGACCTACTAAATATCAGGTTTAACTGTCAGGAGTAGCTAGTGTTGTCACGATACCAACATTTTGGTTTCGATACCAAGTCAAGAATTGCGATTCCGATTCTTTTTCGATACTTTTCTTAAAAAAAGGGAAACAGTCTTAAATGTAATTATTGTGCTTTATTTCACACCAGAACCATAACACAAACTTTTAAACAATGAGAACAATAAATAAAAGAAATGACAAGAATTCGTATTAAATCAAATTAATACATTTCTTACAGACAGGCCTCGTGGTGTCCGTAGGCTTGCTCTCACTGTCAGAGATATAGCTAAAATACTTCCAAATGTCACTTCTGGCGTCTTTTTTGTCAACAAGCCGAGGCGCAGCGGCAGCTGCACTCCCACTTGCAGCCATGCTTCTCGTTTTCTCACGTGCTCTGGCAGCTAGCGCGTGCACGAGAGAGGGGAGGGACTTGAGCGTGCTTGAGAGGGGCGGGACTGCAGGCACGGCTGCAGTGCAGGGAGTGGAAGCAGAGCGCTGAACACACACGGCTCTTATTAAACGGCGCTTTCTCACCGGAGTACTTTTCCCCGTCATTCTTAAAGTACCGATACTAATGAAACGGAGGAATCGTAACGTTTTTAACGGCAGGGTATCGCGGTACCTTTCAAGTATCGGTACACCGTGCAACACTAGTCAGGAGTCAGTGTCTCTCCCCCAAACTCACACATATACAATTCGATATGAACTGAAGAGCCGCATGAAACTAGGCAAAGAGCCGCATGCGGCTCGAGAGCCGCGGGTTGGCCACCCCTGTTCTAGAGTTATCATATCTTGAAGAAGAGGATGTAAGACACGGTCATAACCATACTTCTTCACATCATCAGTTTTACACAAGACTGCCAGGTAAATCGAGGATAGTGATGAATGTGAGCCTGGAGGCAAATTACTCAAAGTCCAGTAGATTCCACAAAGCTTATGCTTCTTGCGAGAAGTACCCAGAGGATTGCAAATCTCAAAGTCATCTATGTATATAGTCAACAAAATTCTCAAGTCATCCCCTGATAGAAAACCGTTTTCCTTGAAGTGTGAACCATCCTGGGAAGATTTGTAAGTCTGTTGTTCACCAGTCCCCCTATTACTCTGCTGCACTCTGTGGTTTTCAACCACTTTGTCTACAACATCTTTCCTCTGAAAGAGCTGCTGCAAAGACTTGAGTACAGGCACATACTGAAAACTCCTTTTTTCCTTGGCATCAAGTATGTACTCTATGGGTTCTACAACATTAAAGCTGTCTTTGTAATACTGATTGCGGAGATAAGATGTCCTTAGGGGACCACCCTTCCCTATGGCTTTGAGCAAAGGGTTTGATGCGCAGAGAGCAGTGGCTACTTCTGTTATCACAGACTTATCAGTTGTGGGACTATGTTTCTGAAATACACCTTCAAGAATGTCAATGGAGAGGGGCAATGTTGCTGAACTTAAGTAGTGCAGTTCTTCCAAAAACTCATCAATTTTTGTACCCGGCACATGTGCAAAATGCTCTAATTTGAGCAACGATGCAGCAAAGTTTTTCTCAATTACTTTGGAAGAGTTCTGAGTTACATCCACATCACTACTTGAACAAGCACTGTGTACTTCAACTGCAGAGTCATCTTGATTATGTGCGTATTCCACAGGATTATCAGAGGATTCTTGTGCAACTAGAGTGGTTCTAACTACACCTGGCTTGAAATCTTTCAACGTATGCGGTTTGTGTTTCCTGTTTTTGTGAGAGTGAAATGTTGCGTATATATTTGTTTCAAAACTGCAACCCACAAACATACAAGGAACAGTCTCATGACTCTTAAAATGAGTTCCAATGTGTACAAAATAATCCCTCTCCGTAGGAAGATCGCTCGAAGTGCACAAATGACAACTGAATATTGACAACTCCAGCTGCTCCTGAGAGTTTTGTTTGGGATGGGCTCTATTTAAATGAATGTGCAAAGCATTCCATGTCTTAAATGTACATGGGCAGTTTGTGTGTGGGCATGGATAGCGTTGCCTATGCCGGTGCTGTAGTCTAAAATGCTTTAGTAACTCATATCTACCAGAAAGAGATTCACTACACTCCTTACACCTCCACATTTGCCCACCAAAACAAAATCACCAGCAAAAAATAAAAAAAACATTTCAATCATGAACTTGAGAATGGCAGATGACACCTTTTACCTCACTGATGAAGTTGGATTGCAGACACAGGTACGGTTAGACAGGACACTCTTGCGGTCGGACAGCCGCCACAGGAACTTTTGCAGTCACAAATTGCTGTGAAAAATTGAGAGACCAATCAACATACATGAAAGTTAAGTTACACAGAGAACTCGCAATATTGCTGTAAATTAAGACTCATAAATTACATCTGCTTTTTTTTACACAGAACCTTATCAGTGCCCTTATCAGACAGAAGTTGACGCATTACTTAGTCATATCCAAACCAATTCAACAGAGTTCTTCAATTTAAAAGACGGTGCATTTCTGTCTGAGTGTGGTGTACTTTTTCAAGATGTTTAGACAAATTGCTCTCTGCCGTGTGTGTGTGTGTGTGTGTGTGTGTGTGTGTGTGTGTGTGTGTGTGTGTGTGTGTGTGTGTGTGTGTGTGTGTGTGTGTGTGTGTGTGTGTGTGTGTGTGTGTGTGTGTGTGTGTGTTGCATGTAGCAGCCGCGTGTGTAAACTGCGAAAACCACAGTGGCAGCTAGCTCCGCATGGCAGCTAGCTTGGCAGCTAATTTACGTGACGCAGCCGAATAACGGCGCAACATGCCTTTGTAAAAGGGGCTGATATTACTGACATATAAGCGCCTGGGGTAGCACACTTTCCGTTTAACTTTCCCAGGGTAATGCTACCGTCATTTAGTTTTCAATCCTGATATCCTATATTTGAACCATCTCCCTAACTTGCAGTTACACAGACTAGCTAGTTAACAACGTTAGCTTTAGCATGTTCGTCGGCTCATTCGGCTTTTTAAGTGAGATAAAAAATGAAACTAAATAACAAATTAACTATCAACGTTACCACAATATCGCTCATGGACTAGCAGTTGATGACATTTATTAACAGCTTCACAGTTAGATGACAATGTTTTCTGCTTACCTCCTCCAACTTTGGCCAACGGTCTTTCTTGTCTCAATGATCCTCTCTCGCGATGATGATGGTTAAGTTTACGGTTATGCCCAAATATCGCGAGTGCACACAGGATGCAGGGGAAACCCTTTCCCGCCAGATCGCGGTCAAAATCAAACAATGGCAGAGTCTGGAAGTCATCCATGGAAGTGTCCAAGAGCAGTCAAGAATGTAGCGTGCCTTATTGTTCAAGCCGTGTTTGTTGTTTCACATCTTTACAACCGTGAACATTTAAAAGTAATAGACTGTTGGTATCCAGTTTATTGGTGGTTATACCGCCACCTTCTGCTCTGGAGTGGGAATCATATGTACCCTAATCCCTTTGTGTCAGTTTATCTCAACATGAATGAATCTAATAAATGTGAAGTTGTTGCGATTCATGCAAACCATACATGTTTTCATCACGTTCATCTTGGAAACATGAAATTATTACGTTGAAAATACATGTTAATTTTATTTGATGTAACAGCCAGCCAAAGTCCTTTTTTTGAGTGTATGAAAATCTGTCAAAGTGAGATTCCTCTGTGATGCTCAGGAGTGTTGGTTCAGACTTTATTCTGACTTCACTCTCCGTCTACATCTCTTTGGAACATTCAAGAAAATAATCAACAGATGATGAGATATTAATCTTTGCATGACATTTTTACACATTATAATCAAAGAGTCAGTCAAAGACAAAAACAAACAACTTGATTGTTTATTGCTATAGTTTATTTTGCATCAAACTTTATTACAGTGTGTTTATAGTTTTAATTTGACTCATTTAATGATCGATGAATGTTCACATTTTTAATCCAAGAATCTTTAAATGGATGAATTTATTTTCTGTTTTTCTTTGTAATGGATGAAATGAGAATGTTTGATTAAGTTTTGTGTGAATTCTTGAAGAAATGTAAGAAGTCTGTATATCGTGCTGAAACTTCATGACATCAACCAAACTAAGAATCAAAGCTGTCAGTTCTCCTTTGATCTAGTTTCGAGTCAAACATCACGTTATAGCAGTATACGTTATCAGTTTAACTTCTAACTTCTCTTTCACTCGACCTCTCCTACTCCCTACTCTATGTCAGTAGAAGAGCTGGTCTGTTGCCTGTGTTATTAAAGTGACCGTTTACCGAACCCTTTGTGTACATTGCTAAGCTAATTTGACCTGTCTCGAGGACACGCTTTGTTTAGGAGTGAGAAACCCTCTTTTTGTTTGAACCTGTTCTTTTTGTTTACTGATAAGAGTAGGTGAGAAGCCTGTACTTTATTCCTTTTGGTTAGGCAAGTTTTAGAAAAATGTTATTGCTGCGCCTAGGTTCCCCTAGACCTGGGCCTAACATACATTTCTAATTCACCTAAAGGTAATTATAGCTGTACAAGTAAGTGTAGTATTTGTAGATATCTTGTGTTTAAATAAGCAGCAGTTTAATTCAGAAATGTGTCGATGAGGTTGTTTCTTCACGTACATCTCTCAAATAGCCATGTGACAAATTACAGAGAATATAAATGATGACAATTGTAAAAAATATAAATAAATAATCTTAATGATCTAATCTCTTCTTATTTAATGAATTGCATCCCTTCAAACATCTGTTTTAACCTTTACATTCATAGATGCCAAACTCATGAAATCTGTTTGCTTGTGTGAAGTCATGTGACGGATGAACGTGCTGTAAACAAGAAGCTCCCACCCTGATGAAGGACACTCAGCAGAAAACATGTGAGGGGTAAAGCATGGCATACTGGAGCTGTGCAACGTGTTTGATTTGATGGAGTTGTTTTGATTCTCTCTTAGAAACTGTCAGGAGTCACATTCACATTATACAACTCCACTGCAGCATTATAACAAATACAAAGTAGCTTCAAAAGGAAAAAGAGTGATGCATTATTTATTCACTTTGATACTGTGTCTTCATTTGCTTCAAACCCAAATGATCCGGTTGTAGAAAAATAAGTAAGTAGAAGTACCAGAGTGTAGGAATACTCTGTTACAGTAAAGGTCCTGCATTACAAATGTTCCTCAAGTAAAAGTAGAAAAGTATTAGCATCAAAATATACTTAGTACAGTGCTGGAATTGGGCCGGTACTCACCGGTACGCAGTACCGGCACTTCTGGTTCTGACCCATGGAGTACCGGCACTTCTTGCTCAGTACCGGCATGCTGGCGGTACTCCGGTACTCATGCACCGTGCCAGTACTCAACACTCTCCCGCCGTTCTTATTATACATCCATATATATATATATATACAGCCGCCCGGTACTCAGTAGATGCGTCATGAGGTGCAGAACGGACATTCTCATCGCTCTAACCGCTGGAGTTTCACAGCGGCTGTCAGCTGTTTACTCCTGTCATTCAAACAGAACGTGCTGGAGAGGGGGCGGGGCTTATCTTCTCCATGTAAATACTGTGGTGGAAACGACTATGTCAAAATTAACCTATTTGACCGTGATTTAATAGTAATACACGTTTCAAAATAATAATAATAATAATGCCGAAGTAACAACATATTGAAAACTGTTAGTAAAACCATGTTATAATGCTTTACAATTTACATACCTAGATGCACGTGTGTTGTGTTTATGCAGTGCAACTCCCACCCAGTGGGTGGCTATGTAGAGTGATAGAACAGAGCAGGCACGCCCCCGAGAGAAGGAAAGCAAGTCACGTCACAAATTATCATTTCTAAAATGTTAGCGTGGATTAATAAAAGTGCAAAAAGACAGCGGTTGTCGCCGGAAGAAACTTCAAATACAGAGAATGCTGTGCCTGTGTTGGAAATTGTGTCTGATGGGGAGCTTTCTTTGGTTGATCCTCCTGCTCCAAGTTCTAGTGCATTAGCATTAGCACTAGCTCCGCCGCCTCCTCCAGAGCCTCTAAAGTTAGCTGCTGCTGGCTCAACTGCCACCACCAACACCGGGCAAAGCGATGCACCTGACTGCTGGACAACGGACCAGGTGCAATATTTTTGCAAGACCAATGCATGGCTCCTTCTTAAAGATAAGAAGCTAGGATGTCGGATATGCAGAGATGTCAAATCTTTGGGAATACACACTGGACAAGGACTGAAACTGTCAACTGAATGGGGTGAGTGTGCAGTGTCTCATTTCGGTGTTGACAAGGGCAAACAACAAGCTAGCCTGAGAAAAAAATCAAAGAACATAAAGAATCACAAGCCCATGTAAAAGCTGCTGACATCCTTACATCTGCTTCACGTGAAACTATTCAACATCAAGTGCAGTCTATGCATAAATCTGAATTAGACACCACTATCAGAGTTTTTCGAACGGCATATAAAATTGGCAAACATAGCCGGCCATTCACAGACATGCCAATTGATTTGAATGTACAGAAACTGAATGGGCTGAACGTGGGCAGGGTTTTGCACTCCAATAAAACCTGTGGCGAAATCATCGACCACATAGCTCATGAGCTGAAGAAAAAAATGGCAAAAGACATTACAGAAAACCAAAGAAAACTCTGTGTTTTGGTCGATGAATCTACCACTATTAGTGGTAAAACGGTGCTTGTTGTGTGTCTACGCTCAGCATTAGCTGATGCTGAGCCCGAAACGTTTTTTTGGGAGCTGATCGAGTTGGATGGAACAACGGCTGATGACATCACAAAGGCGTTAATGGAGTGTCTTGGAAGAGATTTTAACGAGGACTTTTTAGGTCAGTGTTTCGTTTCTTTTCATGTGATGGGGCTTCAGTCATGCTAGGGAAGAGAACAGGCGTTGCTACCCAGTTGTGTAGTAAATTCCCAAGCCTGTTTGTGTGGCACTGCTCCAATCATCGTCTAGAGCTGGCAGTTGGGGATGTGGTCAAGGAGGTTTCAGGGCTCAATCATTTCCAGATCTTTTTTGACAAACTCTATTCCTTGTTCCATGCCTCCCCCAGAAATCAGAGGCAGTTAGCGCAGTGTGCGCAAGCAGTCGGACAGCGTCTCCTGGTGATAGGGCGTGTTTTGTCCATCCGCTGGGTGGCTTCAAGTGAAAGGAGCGTCAGAGCAGTCTGGGAAAACTACCGAGTGCTTCATGATCACTTCACAAATGCTGCAAACGACACGAGCAGGGATTCCAGAGACAGAGCAAGTACAAGGGCCTGGATGATGTGCTCACATCTGCAACGTTTGTCAGCAATCTGGGACTGATGTACGATGCGCTCACAGAGCTCAGCGACCTCTCTCGGCAACTCCAAAAAAGAGAGATGACACTGCCTACAGCAGATAGGCTCTTAACTCGAGAAATACGAGTTTTTGAATCCATGGTCACCATGCCTGGCCCACACATGACTACAGTTCATACAGCTCTAGCTGAGAAGTCCTTCAAGGGTGTTGCCCTGCGTGAGAATGGCAGGCTTGTACAGATTCATGCAGGTCAGTTTTTCCGCAGTATGGTAGAGAATCTGAGACACAGAATGACTTCCACAACCTCCTCTCATGTCAGCACAAGAGAAATCCCATTACATGGCCGGGAGGCCCGGGACAATCAGCTAATCCAGGACATGAAAGTTATCCATCCTGGAAGTTGGCCTGAAGAGGAGTTAGACGTACAGTATGGGGACGTAGAGGTGCTACGTTTGTGCGAAGTGCTGAAAGTGGACAGAAGAGAGACTGTTCAGGGCTTTCGCGAATACAAGGAAACCAGGGCATCCCGTACACCTGCTGCCATGGAGCCTCTACTGAAAGCAGTCCGAACCATCGCTGTCTCCACTAGTGAGTGTGAGCGGGCATTCAGCTGCATGAACGATATCCTTACTGCAAAAAGGAATGCTCTCTCTGTCAGCCGACTGTCCAGCCTGGTTTCATTAAATGTAATGGACCATCACTAGGACAGTTCAATCCGGAACAGTATGTGAGGTCCTGGCTGGCAAAGGGAAGGAGAAGTGCTGATGAAAGAGCCTGTCCAGCTCCAGCCCCTGATACTGATGTCCCCAAGGCCTTCTGGAGCCTTTTCTAACAATGTGAAGTATATTGCAAAGCAGCTCACCCAGTGAGAAGACTTTTGGCATAATGTGCCGATTTGTACAGATCCTGGAGATAGAAGGACTTCAGACCAACCAGGGAGTTATCTGATCAGTTTGGTGTTCAATGTAACTCTTTACCATGGCTCAGACTTTGTTACTTGCAGTTACAGTTTCTCATTTTAGATTGTGCAAATTTTGCATTTGTTTTTACATGTTCTTTGTTCATGCTCTTTATCATTTTTCTGAGTTGGAAAGTTAGATTGCATCATAGTTTACTTTATACATATTTGTATTCTTCAGTGGTGAAGTATATTGCAAAGCAGCTCAGCCATGTGAGAAGACTTTTGGCACTTTTTCGTTTTTCGTTTTCTGAGTTGGAAAGTTAGATTGCATTCAAAATGTACAGAAATACTTAATTTTGTTAAAGCTTTTTATAAAAAATGCTTCTGACCAGAGCTTTGTTTCCTTGTCATTAATGTTGAACACCACCAGAGGGGCTCTCACCTGAAAGGTCTCTGCTTCATGTGTCTTCAGCAGAAGATCTAGACTTTGATTGCTATATTTTCAGTTAATATTGACCTTACTGAGCTTTAGCCATATCCGCTGCCTATCATAACAAATGTTAAGTACAGTGAACCTTTCTAAAATATACAGTAGTAAAGAGACAAACCCACCAGCATTATAGTAGCCAAATTCTTGTTTGTGGGCTGTATATATAAAATTGACTTGAAAAAGTTGCTGATTTTAGAGTACTGGCACCTTTTTCATTCCAATTCAAGCACTGACTTAGTAGCAAAAGCAAAAGTACTTATGATGCAGATTGGCCTATTTCGGGAGTAATATAACATATTTTGAATATAATTTTTTATGCAAAAATATGTTTATCCTTGCATGAAGTAATTTGTATTTACTTTAGTGTAGTTTGTGAATTTAGCTTAGTACAGTACTTGAGTAAATGTACTTAGTTACTTTACACCACTGGTAATAAATCCACTCACCTTTAAAGCAGGGGTGGTTCTAGGGGGGGCAGGGTGGGCCAGTGCCCCCCTAACACTGCATTTGGACCCCCCTGTGGCCCCCCTGCAAAAGAAAAAAAAGGTTTATGATTAAACGATTTCTTGGCTGACGGAATAGGTGGAACTAACGATATTTGTAATTCTAGTCGGACCCATTAGAGAGAGCACACCTTTATCTATTTCATATAGTTGTACAAAAATAAAGTAAGAAATCATTCCAATGTGTACTATAAGACAAAAAGTTAAACAAATTAAAAACAGTTTAAAAGGGGAGTGATTAGTAAAATATGCATAAATAAAAAGAAAGGATGCTAACTAGGTAACATAAGATAAGAATAAACAAGTTTAAATGATTTGTTATTGGTTGTAATCATATTCCAAAGATTTTTGGATTATTGAAAAGTATGCAGCTCCCTTTCATCTGAGTGTTGAGAGCTGTATCCATACATTCATTTTGTGCTCAAAGTGCACCAGATTGATGCATTTAACTTCAACATTTAAAAGCAAATCTTCCTGGGGGTGCATGCCCCCGGACCTCTAGAGGAGGTGAGGTCCACCCCCCAAATAAAGCAGGTTAAAATAATTTAATTTCATACATTTTCTTGACACTGAAAACGGGTCCCACAGACCCAAACAGCACACAACGTTTAAATGTAAGAATATAATAATGTTAAAATGTGCTAAATATATACACTGCAAAAAACAACAAAAGAGGAGTAAAAGTATCTCACGACTTGTTTTTTATTTTGAAAGTAGCTCTCATCCTAAAAAAGGTTGGAGACCCCTGCATTAGAGCGTAAAAACTGTAACTATAAATATCTGAAATAAATGTGTAATGAAACAAATACCAATAACTGTATTGCTTTGTTTTCTTATGCGCAATTACTTCATACTGTCTTTTTTGTCCTGCATTTATTGGGCCCCCCCTCAGAAATAACTGGCCCCAGCCTGGCCCCCCCAGTCAAATTGGTCTAGAACCGCCACTGCTTTAAAGGAACTTGCTTTCCTGAATGCACATTTTCCATAGATGATGGCATAACGCATGCTGCTTGAGTAGTAGTTTGGCTGGCTGAGAGATTAAGCAAGTTATACATTTTCTGTGAGTAAAAGTAGATTTCTGGCAAAACAGTCAATCATTATCCTGGTGATTATTTCGCAGATAAACCAAGTGACCCCGCCCCCTTAAAAACCCACGATCCGGCTCCTTTCAAAAAGCCGTAATTCCCATCACTACGAACATCTTTTTATTTTATATTTTAATATCTGTTTTTCATTTGTTCATATATGTATTTTGAGACCTGACGTCACAGTGGGCGTGTCTCCCTGCAGCTCTGCGTCACGCGGCACAGGTGCCTTCTTTCTTCTCTGCAGGAGAAACGGTCATGGCTTCGGGTTTCTGTGAGGATTGCTCCAGACTTCTGGAAGAATTCAACTTCCATCTGAGGAAAGTCTGCAGAGAGTTTGAGCGGAAAATAAAACCCATCTTCAGGGAGCTGTGTGAGTGCACGTGCTTCAGTGTCTCACCTGAGAGCAGTTACCTGAGGAGGAGGAAGAGGAGGAAGAGGAGTCTCTCTCTGAACGGTAAGAACACTTGTGGATTGTCTTTGTTCTGGACGACAAACACGCCTTTAGTGCTGCAATGTCCCCAAGAGCATTTACTGTAGATACTTGATATTAGATCAGATATACTTTTTTAAATCCAAATATTGGGAACGTTTTCTTTGTTATAGCATGGAAACAGGCATTGCACACTAAATACACACACGATAGAAAGATATCTATATCTATGGGGTATTTATGTAGAAATGCACAATGTAAAAATATACAAAAGTCAGAAAACACTATCTAACATACTCAAATCCAGCTTTGATAACACTTTAATGATCAATCATTATAACACAAATAATATATATAATATTCTGAAATGGACCAATCTGCACAATGACTACTTTTACTGTCGCTACTTTAACTATATTTTGATGATAATACTTTTCTGGTTGAGGAACATTTTGAATGCAGGACTTTTACTGTAACCGAGTATTCCCTACAGTACACTCTGGTACTTCTACTTTTACTCAAGTACCAGATCTGAGCACTTCTACTTTTACTCAAGTACCAGATCTGAGTACTTCTACTTTTACTCAAGTACTAGATCTGAGTACTACTACTTTTACTCAAGTACTAGATCTGAGTACTTCTACTTTTACTCAAGTACTAGATCTGAGTACTTCTACTTTTACTCAAGTACTAGATCTGAGTACTTCTACTTTTACTCAAGAACAAGATCTGAGTTCTTCTACTTTTACTCAGATCTGAGTACTTCTACTTTTACTCAAGTACTAGATCTGAGTACTTCTACTTTTACTCAAGTACTAGATCTGAGTACTTCTACTTTTACTCAAGTACCAGATCTGAGTACTTCTACTTTTACTCAAGTACAGGATCTGAGTACTTCTACTTTTACTCAAGTACTAGATCTGAGTACTTCTACTTTTACTCAAGTACTAGATCTGAGTACTTCTACTTTTACTCAAGTACCAGATCTGAGTACTTCTACTTTTACTCAAGTACTAGATCTGAGTACTTCTACTTTTACTCAAGTACTAGATCTGAGTACTTCTACTTTTACTCAAGTACTAGATCTGAGTACTTCTACTTTTACTCAAGTACTAGATCTGAGTACTTGTCCCTCCTCTCTTCCTACAGATGAGGAACTTCAGCTCCATGAAGAGGAAAGTCTTCAGTCTCTGAGCCGACTCTCAGCTTCAGAGGACATTGAGCTGCAGAAGACAGCGGCCATGTTTTATCTACAGCTCAGTCATCACTGTGAGTAAAGAATCCAAACAGATTTGTATGTTGCTTCACTATCTTCTTCTTTATAGCAATGGTTTACAGATAAGTGGAGCAGGTAATGAGACGTGTGTTCGCTCTCCTCTGTAGAGATAAGCTCTAACGGACAGCGCGGTTATTATGCAAATGATCAACTGTAATTTTCTTTCTAGGGTTGGCAGATAATTCCCTGCATGTGTGGCTTAAGTGCCGTTATTCACAGTACTACTATCCCAAAGCGCTGCTTCTTCACCCACAATAACCAGTGTTTCCTGCTCTGTGTGTTTCAGTGAACTCTCCTCTCCCAGACGCATTGTTGGAGCCCGTCATGAACTTACTGCTATCATCTGACCTGGATGTTCAGAAGACCATCTCTCTGTCTTTAGTCAATCTGTTAGTGAAGAACAACGGTGAGAGATACGAAATCACAAGGTGTTTTAAAAAGTCCTCTCTACTTGAAAGAGTCCTCTCCTGCTGATGTTCAGGTGTATATCAGTATGTAGTGTCTCTACTTTAAAGAGTCCTCTCCTGCTGAGGTTCAGGTGTATATCACTATGTAGTGTCTCTACTTTAAAGAGTCCTCTCCTGCTGATGTTCAGGTGTATATCAGTGTGTACATGTAGAGTCTCTACTTTAAAGAGTCCTCTCCTGCTGATGTTCAGGTGTATATCAGTATGTAGTGTCTCTACTTTAAAGAGTCCTCTCCTGCTGATGTTCAGGTGTATATCAGTATGTAGTGTCTCTACTTTAAAGAGTCCTCTCCTGCTGATGTTCAGGTGTATATCAGTATGTAGTGTCTCTACTTTAAAGAGTCCTCTCCTGCTGATGTTCAGGTGTATATCAGTATGTAGTGTCTCTACTTTAAAGAGTCCTCTCCTGCTGATGTTCAGGTGTATATCAGTATGTAGTGTCTCTACTTTAAAGAGTCCTCTCCTGCTGATGTTCAGGTGTATATCAGTATGTAGTGTCTCTACTTTAAAGAGTCCTCTCCTGCTGATGTTCAGGTGTATATCACTATGTAGTGTCTCTACTTTAAAGAGTCCTCTCCTGCTGATGTTCAGGTGTATATCAGTATGTAGTGTCTCTACTTTAAAGAGTCCTCTCCTGCTGATGTTCAGGTGTATATCAGTATGTAGTGTCTCTACTTTAAAGAGTTCTCTCCTGCTGATGTTCAGGTGTATATCAGTATGTAGTGTCTCTACTTTAAAGAGTCCTCTCCTGCTGATGCTCAGGTGTATATCAGTATGTAGTGTCTCTACTTTAAAGAGTCCTCTCCTGCTGATGTTCAGGTGTATATCAGTATGTGTCTCTACTTTAAAGAGTCCTCTCCTGCTGATGTTCAGGTGTATATCAGTATGTAGTGTCTCTACTTTAAAGAGTCCTCTCCTACTGAGGTTCAGGTGTATATCAGTATGTAGTGTCTCTACTTTAAAGAGTCCTCTCCTGCTGATGTTCAGGTGTATATCAGTATGTAGTGTCTCTACTTTAAAGAGTCCTCTCCTGCTGATGTTCAGGTGTATATCAGTATGTAGTGTCTCTACTTTAAAGAGTCTTCTCCTGCTGATGTTCAGGTGTATATCAGTATGTAGTGTCTCTACTTTAAAGAGTCCTCTCCTGCCGATGTTCAGGTGTATATCAGTATGTAGTGTCTCTACTTTAAAGAGTCCTCTCCTGCTGATGTTCAGGTGTATATCAGTATGTAGTGTCTCTACTTTAAAGAGTCCTCTCCTGCTCATGTTCAGGTTATATCAGTATGTAGTGTCTCTACTTTAAAGAGTCCTCTCCTGCTGATGTTCAGGTGTATATCAGTATGTAGTGTCTCTACTTTAAAGAGTCCTCTCCTGCTGATGTTCAGGTGTATATCAGTATGGTAGTGTCTCTACTTTAAAGAGTCCTCTCCTGCTGATGTTCAGGTGTATATCAGTATGTAGTGTCCTCTACTTTAAAGAGTCCTCTCTCTGCTGATGTTCAGGTGTATATCAGTATGAGTGTCTCTACTTTAAAGAGTCCTCTCCTGCTGATGTTCAGGTGTATATCAGTATGTAGTGTCTCTACTTTAAAGAGTCCTCTCCTGCTGATGTTCAGGTGTATATCAGTATGTAGTGTCTCTACTTTAAAGAGTCCTCTCCTGCTGATGTTCAGGTGTATATCAGTATGTGTAGTGTCTCTACTTTAAAGAGTCCCTCTCCTGCTGATGTTCAGGTGTATATCAGTATGTAGTGTCTCTACTTTAAAGAGTCCTCTCCTGCTGATGTTCAGGTGTATATTCAGTATGTAGGTCTCTACTTTAAAGAGTCCTCTCTGGCTGATGTTCAGGTGTATATCAGATGTAGTGTCTCTACTTTGAAAGCAAGTCCTCTCGCTGTATGTTCAGGGTATATCAGTACTGTAGGTGTCTCTACTTTAAAGGTCCTCTATGCTGATGTTCAGGTGTTATATCAGTATGTAGTGTCTCTACTTTAAAGAGTCCTCTCCTGCTGATGTTCAGGTGTATATCAGTATGTAGTTGTCTCTACTTTACAGAGTCCTCTCTGCTGATGTTCAGGTATATCAGTATGTAGTGTCTCTACTTTAAAGAGTCCTCTCTCTGCTGATGTTCAGGTGTATATCAGTATGTAGGTGTCTCTACTTTAAAGAGTCCTCTCCTGCTGATGTTCAGGTGTATATCAGTATGTAGTGTCTCTACTTTAAAGAGTCCTCTCCTGCTGATGTTCAGGTGTATATCAGTATGTAGTGTCTCTACTTTAAAGAGTCCTCTCCTGCTGATGTTCAGGTGTATATCAGTATGTAGTGTCTCTACTTTAAAGAGTCCTCTCCTGCTGATGTTCAGGGTTGTAGATCAGTATGTAGTGTCTCTACTTTAAAGAGTCCTCTCCTGCTCATGTTCAGGTTATATCAGTATGTAGTGTCTCTACTTAAAGAGTCCTCTCCTGCTGATGTTCAGGTGTATATCAGTATGTAGTGTCTCTACTTTAAAGAGTCCTCTCCTGCTGATGTTTCAGGTGTATATCAGTATGTAGTGTCTCTACTTTAAAGAGTCCTCTCCTGCTGATGTTCAGGTGTTATATCAGTATGTAGTGTCTCTACTTTAAAGAGTCCTCTCCTGCTGATGTTCAGGTGTATATCAGTATGTAGTGTCTCTACTTTAAAGAGTCCTCTCCTGCTGATGTTCAGGGTGTATATCAGTATGTAGTGTCTCTACTTTAAAGAGTCCTCTCCTGCTGATGTTCAGGTGTATATCAGTATGTAGTGTCTCTACTTTAAAGAGTCCTCTCCTGCTGATGTTCAGGTGTATATCAGTATGTAGTGTCTCTACTTTAAAGAGTCCTCTCCTGCTGATGTTCAGGTGTATATCAGTATGTAGTGTCTCTACTTTAAAGAGTCCTCTCCTGCTGATGTTCAGGTGTATATCAGTATGTAGTGTCTCTACTTTAAAGAGTCCTCTCCTGCTGATGTTCAGGTGTATATCAGTATGTAGTGTCTCTACTTTAAAGAGTCCTCTCCTGCTGATGTTCAGGTGTATATCAGTATGTAGTGTCTCTACTTTAAAGAGTCCTCTCCTGCTGATGTTCAGGTGTATATCAGTATGTAGTGTCTCTACTTTAAAGAGTCCTCTCCTGCTGATGTTCAGGTGTATATCAGTATGTAGTGTCTCTACTTTAAAGAGTCCTCTCCTGCTCATGTTCAGGTGTATATCAGTATGTAGTGTCTCTACTTTAAAGAGTCCTCTCCTGCTGATGTTCAGGTGTATATCAGTATGTAGTGTCTCTACTTTAAAGAGTCCTCTCCTGCTGATGTTCAGGTGTATATCAGTATGTAGTGTCTCTACTTTAAAGAGTCCTCTCCTGCTGATGTTCAGGTGTATATCAGTATGTAGTGTCTCTACTTTAAAGAGTCCTCTCCTGCTGATGTTCAGGTGTATATCAGTATGTAGTGTCTCTACTTTAAAGAGTCCTCTCCTGCTGATGTTCAGGTGTATATCTGTATGTAGTGTCTCTACTTTAAAGAGTCCTCTCCTGCTGATGTTCAGGTGTATATCAGTATGTAGTGTCTCTACTTTAAAGAGTCCTCTCCTGCTGATGTTCAGGTGTATATCAGTATGTAGTGTCTCTACTTTAAAGAGTCCTCTCCTGCTGATGTTCAGGTGTATATCAGTATGTAGTGTCTCTACTTTAAAGAGTCCTCTCCTGCTGATGTTCAGGTGTATATCAGTATGTAGTGTCTCTACTTTAAAGAGTCCTCTCCTGCTGATGTTCAGGTGTATATCAGTATGTAGTGTCTCTACTTTAAAGAGTCCTCTCCTGCTGATGTTCAGGTGTATATCAGTATGTAGTGTCTCTACTTTAAAGAGTCCTCTCCTGCTGATGTTCAGGTGTATATCAGTATGTAGTTGTCTCTACTTTAAAGAGTCCTCTCCTGCTGATGTTCAGGTGTATATCAGTATGTAGTGTCTCTACTTTAAAGAGTCCTCTCCTGCTGATGTTCAGGTGTATATCAGTATGTAGTGTCTCTACTTTAAAGAGTCCTCTCCTGCTGATGTTCAGGTGTATATCAGTATGTAGTGTCTCTACTGTGACATGTCTGTCTCTGATTGGTTAGCTGGCTGGCTCTGTTGTTATTGGTCAACATCTTAGAGATGTCCCCCTCATGGAATCATGTTTTTAATATTGCTTTTTTAAATCTAATTGTTTTCCACAATCACATCTTAAACTGACCCGATGAATAGGGTCATAATAACCGTGCATTAACTCCGGTGTCAGTGTGCAGAGCCTCTGTGGTTGAGATGGGGATGCTGGTTCCACTCCTGGATCTGATCCGGTCCGGAGACTCCAGCGCTCAGAGCCACTCCTGCGCCTGCGTCTGCCTCCTCGCCTCCTCAGGTGGGTGCAGAAGGATTTAAGGTCTTTCAATTGTTTAATAATTATTATTCTCTCGGTGTCTGGCTGTTACATATTTGTACAGATATCTTTATTGTGGGAAGCAGTATTTCAATCTCTCTGTCTGTACACACAAACTGAAAGATTGACAATAAAGTTCACTTTTTTTGGTGCAGAGTCGAACAGAGAGGCTGTCATGGTGGAGGGAGTGAAGCCTCTGCTGGCTTTAGCCAAATCCTACGACCCTCGAGAGCAGCAGGTGGCCTCCTGGGCTCTGCTGCACCTCACAACACTCAGGTGGGTCACTTCCTTTAAAGGTCCCCTATTATACTGTTTTTCATCAATATATCACAGGTCTCAGATATATACAGAGCCTGTCTCTGATTGGCTGAAACACCAAACAGATCATTGTAGCATTACCCATAATCCCCTCTGTTTCCAAAGTGCTGATTCTCTGTCTGTTACTTCAGATGAAAATAAGGAGCCCCTCCCCACGCCCCTCTGAGAGACATTTGGTTACAAAGAACACAATG